AACTACTATGTTCCATACTATGTGCTGGAAATACAAAGATAAATAATATAAGCTCTCTGCCCCTTATTAAGTTTACAGTCTAGAGGAGAGATAGAAAAAATTATTAAATGACTGTAATAAAATATGTCCTGTGTACAGTAATAAAGAAAAGCCCAAGTTAGTTAGTACATGAGCACCTTCATAGAGCCCCTGACCCAGCCAGGAGGTTGTAGGTGTCTTATAGAAGCTGCTATGTGAGCAGAGTCTTGGAGGGTGAGTAAGAATTTGCCAGATAAGGAAATATGGATCCGAGAGAGGTGAGGAGGAAGGGGCATGGCGTTCCTGGTGTAGAAGAGAAAGGGATGCACACACAAACACTGACAGATGTCTTTTCAAGTCAGTGCAAGTGTTGGCATCATAGTCAAGCATGGAGAGAAGTGGGAAATCAGGCTGAGAGTCACCAGGGGTCAGATAATGGAAGTTCTTGGATGCCATATCCTTAAGTTTGAGGTGAGGGCAAGGTTTAAAGGGGTTTTGCTTGGAGAAGTGACATCAGCAGGTTCTATTTTAGAAAAATTTTTCTCTGGTGGGTGTGTAGAGAAAGGCACGGAATCAGGGAGACCAATTCAGGCATCTAAGATAGTGGCAGAAGGGATAGTGAGAAGGAGACAGATTCAAAAAATAAAATAAAATGAAACAGGATTTGTGGACTGAGTAGATGTATGTGTGCCAGCCAGGAAGACAAATAGAATGTGTCAAACTCTGTGATGAGGATACAGCAGGGAAAGGTGGGGAGGAGGAAGTCAAGGTAGAAATTGCTGAGTTCAGTTTCGAACCTGTCGTATTTTAGGAGATCGTGGGACTTCTCTGTGGAGATGTCCAATGAACTGTTAGAAGTGTACGTCCAGAACTCAGGAAAGAGAACTGAGCAGGACATGGAGATTGGAAAGTCAGAGCCTGGGAATGGGACATCCATGATTTCACAGTCATGGATGTAGATGAGCTCAACCTGGGGTGGATGGTGGAGAAGGGAAGAGAACCAGCGCGTTGTGCAAACCAGCTGATCACACAGGCTCCCCTCTCCTCTGCCATGCCCCTCTTGGAGACCTCTCTTTGGAGGAAAACCTTAAAACTATCTCCGACACTTCCTCGCCATCCATGAGTTCTACGTTTATTCCATTTCAATCAATGAAATTTATACATGTGCATAGGATATACTGTTAAATACATTACAATACAGTAAACATGTAAGTGAAATTTTCACTTCTCTGCTTTTGAGAAAATGTCCTGTGAAGAAGTCAAACAAATTCTTATTTAAAGGTCTTTGGAGGGCACTGACGGCAAACCTAGCTTTTTATAGATGAAAAAATTGACCCCCAAGGTTGTTTAAGTGGATTGTTCACAGTCACACACCTGTTAATGAGAGAGAGCCCAGCCAGGTTCTTTATCTGTAAGAACAGAGCCACAGGGAGAAAACGGCTCTCGCAACCCTCAGCTTTCTCTGTCACCTCCTTTCTCTCTATTTCCATTATAAATTCCCTTCTTTGGTGAAAAATTAAGTAGTCTATAACAAAAACTGTGAAAAGTGTTCCAGTTTCTTCCCACTTCCTTTTAACAATGATATTCATTCTGTTCAACAGAATCTCTTTCTAGAAATGTGCCAGAAGTATCTCAAAGCCGCCTCCTTAGCTGTTAGCCCATTATCAACCTGACCCCATGCGCTCATACACAGAATGCAGAATGCACATACCTCTTGAGATAAATTCAGTTTAAAAAAACTGGATTGTTTAACTGTAAAAACAATCTAATTTCTCTTAATAGATCTCATTTATTTAGCTGCAAGCATTTTAATTACTTTCATGCAAACTTTGGTCTTGGGGTTTGAGAGCATTGGTTAAGTAAAGTTCACTTGTATGAGACTTCTTGGTCTTAATCAATCTCTTTTCTTCTCTGTACACCTTGTATTCTCCCCTGTTCCCCCCTCTTCGTCCCCTTCCTGTATACTTAGCAGACATTCAAACACAACTGGAAAAATGGGATGATGTTAAGTTTCATGGAGATCGAAATGGCAAGGGGCATCCCATGACAGAGAGAAAATCCTGCTCATCTAGAACTGGGTCAAAAGAACTTTTATGGTAAGATATTTTAATATCAGAAAATAGTTATTTATTTCAACCATAAAAAAGAATGAAATTTTGCCATTTGCAGTAACATGAATGGACTTGGAGGGCCATAAAAGTGCATTAGTCAGGCAGAGAAAGACAAATACTGTATGGTATCACTTATATGTGGAATCTAAAAAATACAACAAATTAGTGAATATAACCAAAAAATAAAGCAGACTCACAGATACAGAGAACAGAATAGTTACCAGTGGGGAGAGGAGGGGAGGAGCAATATGGGGGGTGAGGGAGTGGGAGGTACTAACTGTTGGGTGTAAGACAGACTACAAGGATGCATTGTACAACACAAGGATGATAGCCAATATTATGTAATAGCTATAAATGAACTATAACCTTTAAAACTTACATAAAATATTTTTAAAATTTTTAAATGGATAAAAATTCTTAAAAACTGAAAAAAAAAGAAAATAGTCATTTATGCATCATGTACTCTAACACTGAAATAGCCAATGAACTCAGTCAGTCCAGATTCTTGTTGCCATTTATAACCCCCTATTTATCAATGTTAATTTTTGTGGCTTCTAAAACTAAATTATTTCATCTGAATTGCTAAAAATTCAGCCAGTTAGGATTTTGGTAGATTCATAATTCAAAATTCAGTATTTGTTCCATCTTTGTTGATAATTTTCTAAATATGTAACTGGGTGACCAATTAAAACAGGTGCACATGTATGTTTACATATGTGTGTGTATTCAATGTATTGTATGAATGGTAGTTAAATGTTTCTGGCTACACATAATCTTTTCTGACTTTCTTAATCATCACTGTCAGATAATGCACTAATTAAGAAGAATCCATGGAGAGGAGGGTAGAGCTCAGCGGTAGAGTACATGCTTAGTCTTGGGTTCAATCCTCAGTACCTCCTTTAAATAAATAAGTACAAACCTAATTACCTCCCCCTGCCCCCACAAAAAAAGAATAATCCATGGGTGCCCATGAGAAAAACTAGCCACTTGAATTTTAACAATGTTTTTAAAGCTTCCTAAGGGACGGCATGTTTCAGTTTCCTGTTGCCCCTCACACATCTCCATTTATTATGACATCCCAAATTCTATATAAAGATCAAATCTCACTGAGGCACTTTATGAGAAAGCTCCCTGCTCCCCCAGAATTACTTTTTTAATGAAGCAGAACTTTCAATAACAAAAATGGCATTGCATTTATTTACTTTTTACGCATAACTGAACTGAATTCTAAACCAAAGACAATAACACCTAGCACACTGCAGCCTTGAATTCCACTTAAATTCCAAACATGATCATTATAACAGAAATATATGTTATCTTTTTCATCAAAAGTCTGATGAGAGCTTTGTGACCATGGTTCTCAGTGATCCAAATTCGCCGAGTTTCTTGGCTGGGTTTCTAGCTGAATTTGCTTGTCGACGTACATGACTCTCCTTCATGCGTCCCTTATAGGTCCTCAGAGCACAGATCTCAACCAGAACTGAGTGGTGGGAAAAGCACCTTGAACTCTGAGTCGGCTTCGGAGCTGGAATTAGTGCCTCCAACACAGGTAACAAAACCAACTCCTCAATGTACCTGTCTTTTATAATCATAAACATTTTATTTAAATTTTCACAGAAAAGGTTGAAGTATTTCTTCTGTATTTTGTATTTCATGTACTTTCTCACTCAGCATCTGTCTCGATGCTTAAACTGATGACTCAGATAGATAGAGAGAAAGATAGATTTGGCTGGAAAATGTGTCACTGAAGTCACTTTGTACCTAGCACTTTTTCCTTGTTATACCACCTACTGTTCCATTATTTTTCAATACAAAATCTGTTCTACTGCACTGTTAGCACTATTTATATAACAGACCCAAATAGAAGGAAATTATGTCTTGAGCACTCATCACATTTATGCTCTGCAGACCAAGGTACGTACACATCAGGAACATGAATGCTAAGGAATAAGTAATTATAGTACTAGCTGTCATGGTAAGACTAAGAGAGACATTTGAGAGGACCCACTAAGTATTAGGGACTTTACTATGTGCTTTTCATATGTTACATCTAATACTTAAGTCATCCTGTGAATTAGTATTAGCCTCACTTTAAAGGTCTTTGAAGAATCTTGGTGAAGTCAAAATCCTTTTCTGGGGCACCCGACTAATCACTGGCAGAAGTAGGGTGTGAACCAGACCCATCTGTCCACTACTTGACCCTTGACTCCAGTGTAACTGTCTTGTCTGTAACTAGTTACCACCTATGGTGAGGGCTGTGCCAGGAAGGCCCAAGTGAGTCTCAATCTTTTTATTTGCTCAAACACTTTACAAGGGTACAGCCTTGATCTAAAACCGTAAAGATCTCTTAAGAAATGTGTCCACATTCATGCATCTACCATATAGTTGGCAAATAAGTGGGATGAAATGAGCAAGAGAGATTTTCTTGAGTTTACTAGATAAGATATTGAAACTAAGAGGGGAGGTGTAGTGTCTGAGATGAAGTAAAGGCTTAACTCTGATAATAGCAAATATTAGTGAGTGCTGTGAGAAGCCCTCCAGTACATATTAATTAGCTTGCTTGATCCTGACAAATGACTCTGTAAGGTAAGTTTATTTATGGGGTAATAAATAATTTTTTATAAATTTCCCCATTTTATAAAAGGGGAAACTAAGGCACAGTGAGATTAAGAAAATTGTCAATGTACCTACAGTTTAAGAAGTGGCAGAGAGAAGCAAGACACAGAGAGAGAGGAAATGATGAGGAAATGGAAGACCTCTGGAAATCTTTCTAGGCCATTAACAGTACCCTCCCCTACACCTCACCCTCTGCAAGAGAAAGGTGGGCAATCACCGCTCCTAGGACTCTGCTGGAAAACAAATCCACTGACTGCCAGAGCAAATAACCCTGGGAAGCTTAATGAATTGTTAATGTAGCATGAAAATGTATTTTCTTCCTCTGTGTTCATTCTACATGTATATTTTTCAAAGTAAATTGGTAACATTTATTAGAGAAACATTTCTTGATAAGTGCATTAGAGATTTAGACTCAGCTAAAGTAATCGGTACTGTTTCATAAACTGGAATCCTTGAAACGATTTAATGGAGCCATAGAACGCTTGTTCCTGCAGCAGGGGGAGACTTGGCTGTTGCACACGGAGCTGGAGGGGCGGAGGAGCAGCCGGGGTCCTCAGTTGCCGTGGAGACCCACAATGCATTTATCTTATTATTCCGATGACTGCTACTTTTCCGCTGGTTGTCTGATTTCATCCCACCACATCTTCCTTCCACTTACCCACTGGTGTGCCTTTAAGCAGACACAATGTGCTTCAGAAAATTTGTATGAGATTCCCAACATTGTCCTCCAAAACATCACGTAAAGTGCCCTGTGATAGTTCTCTGTCTAGATAAAATGTAGTGAATCCTTTTAGAGGGTTACCAATTATTTGTAAAGAATTTATCCCTTAAATTGGTTTTTTTAAAAACACTGCATGTTTACTTATCAAGATTTGCCTGAACTAAGGAAATTTATAATCTCCAAGTTTTAATTCCAGCCTGTGGTTAAATTAGGAAAATTTCATGAATTTGGGATTTAATCATCTAAGATACGAAGTCACTCCATTGGAGCAGCAAGAGACTAGACTGATTCATCTGTTAGTAATAAAGGGCAGAAAGATGTTTTTACTGTTAGAAGCATACTGCTTTTAAATATATGCTCTCTTTACATAAATAAGATGCTGAGGTGATGTAACATTTCAACTTGCAAACTATTCAGGTAAACAATTTCAGCTCATCAAAATTTGTTACTGTTCCACCATCACTCAGTTGGTTCACAGGAAAATCAAGGATATGTCTTTTCTCTCAAGCTAATGTAAATTATTTTAGTTAAACCAGTGAGGAGCTATTTACAAGCCTTGCTTAAAAATCATATTTCAGAATCACAAAGAGAACTGAAAGCTTACAATAGGAAGAATTCTCATGTTAGCTTGTTTTCTTTGCAAGATAGGGAAAAAGAAAAACATAAACGAGTCTCCTTCAAACAGTGTTTTGAATACACTAATCAGAGTGGCAGAAGATTATAATAAATTATATAATCTCTGTAGATTTAAGAATAAATTTTCTTGACATTATGCAAACTGTGTACTTAGTATTCCCTGGAGTTAATTGTTTAAAGAAATCACGCAATCTGAAAAATTAGAAAACATTTGAAGAACTGAGGAAAAACACAGAAGGTAATGATATAAAATTAGCTTTTTCAGTGAGTTAGTGGTGAGGCAAAAGAAAAAGAATCCAGTTTCTGCTGGAGAGTGATGGTTCAAGCATTTCTTTTTCAAGTCTGGACACTGTAGGGACAGTGCCAACACAGGCTCTTCCCAACCTAGGCTGGACTTCAGGAGTCAGTTCATCAGCCAGGCTCCCCAGATACCAAGGCACAATCATGTAACTCTCTGATGTGGCTAACTTTGGCACAGCAAATGCTTCCTTCTGCATAGTCATAATTCCATCCAGTTGGCAGTACCCCAAACCAGAACAATTTAAACTTTAAGATAAAAGTGCAAATGTGTTTTCTAAATTTCTAAAGGAGTAATATAAAAGTAATGTAAATGTAAACGTCATGTAAAAAATGAGTAAGGTAAATGCACATTGATAGTAATATGAGATACTTCTAATATATTATTTGAAATGTTTACGGCAATCTTGGCAATTAATATTATCTGCATTTCTCAGATGAGAAATGCATCTTAGAAGACAGAGCTAGTTTTCTCAAGATGACGCAGCTAAGATGGAGAGGAGGAGCCAGCCCTCAAACCACACCCATCAGCTTCTAAAGCCCTTGTTCTTCATCACACATCACCTCCTATCAGCCACATCGAGTTTATCCACCTGAGAGAACTCACAAACCATCCATTTCCCTTCTCACTGCAAGCCCTGATTATTGCTTAAGTTTATATGGTTAATATGAGTTAAGTGATATTCAAGGCTATCACTTTCTTCTGGAAACTGCAAGATGAATTAGGGTTGTCATCTGATCTGAGGCCATACACACCGTTTGTGCCTCTCCTCCCAAATTCATTCTCAACCTCTTACTCTTAGAAATGCTGATGGCTTCCATTTCAGTTCAAAAAATGAGGTTGAATGTCCACTGTCCATCAAGCCACAAGTGAGGCAGTGGAAAAGCTAGAAAGATGAGATAAGATTATAGGAGGTATGAAGACCTTTATGTCTAATAGAAACAATTGGATAGGACACTATAAATATCACTTTGCTGTTTGGAAGACAGTACAGGAGCCACATCAACATCCCTTCTCCCCTCCTGGCCATTCATGTGAGCCACCAGTGAGGAAGGAAACAAGGGAAGATGGAAGGAAGGAAGGAAGGAAGGAAGGAACAAAGCAAAGAAGGCAGAGAGAAGGCAAAAAGGAAGGAAAGAAATCTGAAGATCACTTCTGCATAATAGGAAATCTGCACATTCTAGGTACTCAACAAATACTTCTTAAAATGAAAAAAAATAAAGATGCTAACAAAAAGAAGAAACAAAACGTCACGTTAAAAAAAATTGAAAGTAAAGGCTAATGGTTAATTAAAGGGAAGGAAAAATGAAAGGACAAAATTTTATCATTTTGAAGCTAGTTTGAAAATAATTTTTAGTTATGCATGATAATAGACTGTCTATCTTTTTTAAAAATCAGCCCTGATTCGCCTTGATGTTTCATAACAGAATTTCATAGTTGGGTGGAGATGGGAACCATGTGCTGCCTGCCTTTGCACAAAGTTCTAGGAATTTGCTCTTGCTCCAGGTGCAGCCTTTTTGTGTGCTTTCAGTGATAAATGTCTGTTGACTGATTAAGAAAAAACATCCTGACCATCTCAATAAAGCAAGTGTTTAAACGATCTATACTAGCATAAGAGTCCAGCTAGTCTCCATCAACCACTAAACAAAAGCACTCCAACCACAGATTTTTTTAATGAATGTCCAAAGTACATTTGATAAGCACTAACCAGAAAAATGATCATAACAAAGCCAGTTTTACTGAGCACTTACTCTGTACTGAGCATTTCGTGTGTGTGTTTATATGAACTACTGCGCTCAGTTCTTCTGTGGGCTCCATGAGTGACTATGCCCTTTGCAGATGAAACTACTGAGAGTTATTGAGATTAAGTAATTTGTCCAGGGTCACCAGTTAGTAGTTAGTGGTAAACCAGGATTTGGCCCCATGCAGTCTGACTTCAGAGATTAAGCCTTTAATGACTGTTGTGTCAGGTCTGCTAGTTGTTATATTTTTCTTTTCTAGGTTAAACAGATCCCTTTTCTCCTTCAGTTTCTTTTGGAAAGATGCTGGGTTTTTTAAAAATGTGTTTTGGTGGAACATCTCTAGCAATAATGTAAAGGCAATTGTATGAGAAGCTATGAATGACTGATACAGAGGTTAGCCAACAAAATTATGCCAGGACAACCACAAACACAGTAACATGCAAATCATTATTTTGATCACAATCATAATTTTGAATAAAGAGAGGAAACATTATTTTTAGAATTATTTCATGCTTTTTTCTTTCCTTCACCTAATGCCGATCATCCAGTGCAATCAACAGCTGGAGGAATTAAATGCTTTCTTCTCTGGAGAGTGTAATTCCCTAAAATCCAATTAGCTTAAACCAGTTAAAATGCTGTTTTTAAAGCCAGGGCACTTCCAGGAAGTTGCTGTTAACTGCGGAGCATTTTTAAAAATCATACAAAGAAGAAAAGAAATGCCTACGTCAGAGTATATTTGTGAACTCCAGAGTTCCACCTACATGCCCACAATGGCAGTATCGGAAGTTCCCAGGGCGTGTTTTGTCCCTAGACAGCGGTGTCAGCGTCACCTGGAAACTTGTTAGAAATGATGATTCCACGACCCCACCCCACACCTGCTGACTCAGAAACCCAGGGGGTGGATCCTGCAAATTGTGCTCGAGCAAGACCTCCAGGTGATTCCAGTGTGAACGAAAGCTTGCGAACTGCTGGGACAGCCATTGTGCCACCAAAATAGCTGCAACTCAAGTTTATGGGTGTAATTGTCTTGCTTATCATTCCTCTAGTTAAATACTAAGAAATGTCTGCAGTTTATAAGCATTACTTATTTGTTTTCCCGTATTACAGTTTTGCCTGTAAAGAAATTGGATGTAAAAAAAAAGTTATTTGAAAGGAAGGCTGCTCTTCACTATGTGCTATAATCTGTATTTCATTCTCAGTCCTACATCAGCATGCTGGGCACACTGCTGCGTTGCTAAAAAGTTTCAGAACCTTTAGATGTATACTGCTCTCAGCTTGAAAACTGCCTCTGTTTACATTCAGTATCTGCTTATATTTTATAACTTTTATTTTATGCTTCCTTGGGCAAAGTAAATGGCTTTAAAATGTGAGCTCAATAAGATTTGAATTAGTAATAACATAAGGCTTTTCTAACAATGTAGAAAATAGCACTTACCTAAATAGTAATTGTGCTATCAAAATAAAATTTCATTTTCACAGTGAGATTCTATTTACACTTGCAGTTTTAAGTGGTAAAGAGAATACAAACTAGTCTAGACTCCTGAGAGAGAGATTTCCACTTCTTCCTGATATATGGTGACTTTTGCATCCTGTGATTCATAATCCAC